CCCCAGACGGGTTTTAGTCTGGGGTCACTTTTCGCTGTATGGCTGTGAAGTGTTGGCTGGTGGTGGTTCTCGGGGCTTTTTCGTATTTTCTGGATGAGTTCTGTAACTTCAGGCCGCTTCCAAGGGTTGAAAGGTTGTGAATACCCTGTAGGCAGGTTAATATCCATTCTCTTTCTTTCTCCGAATATGTTTCAGGTCATACTTCAAACGTGAGTTGCTATGTTTGAGAGAGACGTTTCTCTCTTAGCTTTCTCTTTCTTTTCTAACCTTCCTGCTTGAGATTCAGTGTTGGTTTTATGGGATAAGGTTTAACTTGCTAATACAGTTTCAAATAATCTGTAGAAGACAAGGATTCAGTCTTGTTAACTCCCACAACATCTGACTCAGACATCTCTTTTATAACCTAAAGAGAAAAATATTCTGTAGCACAGTAAATAACTAGGAGAGCAATTCATAGATAAATACAGTGTTTAGAGAAGTTAATTCCTTGTTTCAAGAATTAGTAAATGCCTGTGGCCGTGGCCAAAATTGGAAGGGTCACAGATTGTTAGTCTTCTTCAAACAGTGTTGTTTGCAATTCGTTTCTGGGCAAACTGGGGATATTGAGAATTTGTGCCAAAAAAGGCCTTTAAATTATTATAATCTCTTATGATGATTAAGTCATACAGCATTTTAACTATTTCATAATACTAGGCAAGCTTGTAACATTTAAAGCTGCTTTATACAGTTTAATATTTTTTAGAGTGGCAATAAATGAATTTTGGCAGAGGTGAAGTTTTCTATTGCCTGATGAAATATTTGATCTGATAAATACTGCCTGTGCTTTGTGCTGTAGCTTAGCTTTGTAAGTGATATCTTTCTTAACTTGCCCTCTGAGAAGACGTGCCTAAGGAAGTTGGAATGCGTTAAGCTAGTGGATTGTGAATCTCAGTTATGACCCTGAATGTTCTAGCTTTTCTATGTTGATAATGTAATTTCTAGTTTACCTCATTCATTTATTAAGTTATACTTCCTTATTTGGCTAATTTGAATTAGTGCTCAGCCCTTATGATTTTTTTCTTTCTATTCTTTTGTCTAAAGCCTGACACTTAACATTTCTGCATGTCTTCCAGATGATGTATCCACACTTTTTTTTTTTCTACCACCCTCAGTAGTGTTTTGTCCTTAACAGCTGATGAAGCTTAGGATCTGATTCTTTGCAGAATCTTCCACCAGGTGTATCTTCTTTCTTCCCTCAGTTTGGCTTTTGTAAACTGTTCTTCTATTCCTACCCATATCACTTTCCAGAAGAAAGTAAAACAGTGGGAAGAGAACAATGAGAAAGCTCTCACTCCTTAGAAAAAATGTGGTTTGTAAGAACAGTATAAAAAGCTTCCCTGTACCTGTGTGATTTTTGAAATATCTGTTGAAAAGAAAATGAGAATTGTTTTCTGTTGGCTACAACAGGGAGGTTTGTATTTGTAATTACTTATATCCCATCCTGAGCTGCAGCACTGTGTTGCTAATAAGGATTTACTGTTAGTTGCATCTGCTGTCTTTTCTTCCTCTCTTCCCTCAGATTTTTTGTTTAAAAGCAAGAGAAGCATCTTGTCCCAAATCACAGTAAGGGGAGAGATGACAAACATACCAATATTCTGAGAAATCTTAGTCATTTCTCCAGTAATATCAGCTGCTAATTGTTGCAATGTGCATTAATTCATGTTTTGACTGTTATTCATAACTATCTTATTCCATTTGAAGTCTGTGGAGCTAGGGTGCTCTGTGTTGGCAGCATGTGCTGTTTCAGTGCTGTCTGCCCAAAGCAAATACCTGCAGCTTCATTGGGCAGAGACCTGCACAAGCTGCTATCCCCAGTAAGTTTATTTTTACCTTTGTGCAGTTGGTTTGTTTGCCTTTCAGTAATTATGTGAGTGACTGACTACTAGAACTGAGTATCAGTGAACAGCTCATGCTTTCTAAGTGACTTTAAGGGAATTGATGTTCTAATTTTACCTTTTCTGATATGTGCTGTATGAGTATCTTCGTTTAGTATTTTAAAAGCTTTTCCCTGATTTACATGCAATTTCTGTGCCTGAACTTCAGTTCCACTTTTAAAGCTTAAAGTCACGATGGTTAAAGTTTTGTTCTACGCTGCAGCTGCTGTTAGTATCATTACCTAGAAACACCACTCCTTTACATGCTGACAATGTATATGATGGTGGTAGTAGTGTGACTGCATGTTTAAAGAAAATTATGTGATGAATTTCTTTCATCTTGAATTGTGCTGGAAAATTTCCCAACATTGTACTATTGCTAAGCTCAGGGAAGTGCTGGTGTAGTTCTTGGAAATGCTGCATTGGTTTCTCTAAGAAAGTTGTGTTAACTCCTTCAGTTAAATATTCTCAGATGCTCATGCAGTAGTAGGTAGCAATATTTGTGCACCCCAAAGAAAGGAACGTTTACTGATTGGCTGTAATTTCTTTGTTTATAGGTGTCTTGAGCTTTCTTTGAGGTTGCACATCTTAAAATGTAGCATTGTGCTGTTGGAAACACCAGTGTTGCTGCTGGCAGCGTTCATCCTTCAAGAAGGAATAGAAACCAGTGATGTTTACCCTGCAAGGCTCAGGACGTGCAGACAGTATGCTTGAACAAATGTTTGCATTTTCCATTGCTTCATATGCAAACATTCATGTTAGTCCTTAATCTTTCTATAGTAGCAGAAAATTATGAATACCAATAGTTAAAAAACCCAAAGAGAGCCAGGTTTGAAAGATGGGGAGATGGTGAACAGGACACGATAGAGGTGGTAAAGGGAAGGTACCTCCTGGTTAAGGAGGTTTATTGTTGCTGTTTGCTTGGGTATCCTAGCACAGCACGGAAGACTTGACATCAGAAAGACAGATGCTTTTCATCAGCATTGAAACTAAAATTAATTGCCTTAGAATCATCAAGATGTATTAAAATAATACACTTTCTGGTTTTTAATTGTGTGTGGGTTAGAGCTTGGATCTGGCATGTTCATTTCCAGTAGCTGCAGTGGCAGAGGCAGGTTGTTCAGCTGTGATCTGTGCAGCTGTTGACAGCTTTGTTGGTCTCACTGAGGTTTCAGTAATGCTGTGTAGGAGTACCAAGAAAACCCCCGGCCCTCTCCACATGAGGGCTTCACCGAGCTGGTCTCTTTTTTGCTCAAGGTAAATGCTGTCAGTGCCTCTTCTCATTCTGCCAGTTTCCTGTGAAAGAAATCTCAGTTCTGGTGTTTGCCTTGAGCTTCATTATTCTTTACGGAGAGCTGAAGGTTGCGCAAACATGGGACTCATGCAGTGTAAGCTTGTTAATTGCTGAACTGCATTTATTTAAGGCAGGTTTTTTCTCAGAAATGAGAAGATACTATTGCCATCTGCTGCCTTTGCATATAGCAGGGCTCTTTCTGGGCCATAACCGCAGAGACTGAATTAGCAGGTGCGTGGGTTCACTCGTGTTTGTCAGATCTCTTCTGTCTTCAGTCGTCATTGACAAGTGCCAGCTCTGCTGGCTCTTCAGAGGGGTGGTCGTGATGGTTTCTAACTTACAGAGTATCTTAATTTTTTTTTTCTGATCCCTTACCTTCTCTTCTATAAAGTGCAGTTGGAGTTAGATTAAATACTCCCTATTCTATTCTGAGATCAACCAAGATTTAAGCCTTTTCAGTGGTTTCACAGTGTCTATATATGCCTTGCCAGGAGGTTTGATGTAATTTCTTCTCCAGGCCCATAAGAGATATTCAGAGTTGCTGATTTTTCAGGCTGTGCTTATGAAGACTTTTTGTAAAATATGTTTTACTGCTCAAGACAGTGGAATTTCAGGATAGAGAGGACCCACAGAAGTGTTCTCTGCATTGTCTAACCTACTGTATTTAAACAGATAGACGGTGTATGAATGGAAAAAACCACAAGTGATTGGTGGAAGCCGCGTCTGTCCTAGAGCAGCTTTGGGGGGCGAGGAGCGCATCGCCCCACTGCGGGCTGGAGCCAGTCCGGGTGTGTCCCGGGAGGGCGATCTCCAGGCCCGTTGCTCCCCGCCCGCACCCCTCGGTGGGGCTGTTTCTCCGTGTTAATTAACACTGCGGGGAGCAGGCGCCTTGCCCGGTGCCGCTGCCGGGCGGGAGAGCTGCGGAGCTGCCCCCCCGGAGCGGGGAAGGAGCGGCGGGCCCTGCCTGCCCGGCTCCCCCGGGCAGTGCAGCTC